TACGGATAAATCAAAGTAAATTATGAAGCATAAGTCATGCCTAGCTATTTTGTATCCAACATCAATTCATGTTTACCTATTTGCTGTTTGTGGCTGTACAAGTTACAAAGATGTGATGAATTTCAACGTAATGAGAGCCAAACCAAAGCAAAGGCTGGGTCACTATACCCTACGTGAAGGGAACATCTGATACGGTTGCACGGGTAATGATGCAACACCATTTCAGCATCCCGATGAGACAGTTATTGGTGCAGTCAAAAGACAAGACTGACATTTTAGACAAAAAAGGAGTTGCATATTAAATTTCATGCAAACACTGTCAGGAGTCATATATAGGTGAAACTGGTAGGAAATTTGGTACATGTCTGAAGACACATCAAAATAAGGACGTAGAGAAAATGAGCAACATCACATTCACAAGATCCACACGCAAACATCCGCCACTCGATCAGTACAATAAATCGGCATGAACAGATCACGCTAATACCCAAAATCACATCGTCGCTTGGGACAATGCCAAGATAGTCGGAGGGAACAACGCACAAAAACGAGACAAATCAAAAAAGCAATCAAAATAAGGAAAACTCAGAGCATGTTTTTTGTTAATAATCCGGTTGCCGAGAGTGATAATGCATAGGCATAAAAAGTCAAAAGCAGCTAAAATCAATAAATCTATTGTTTTAATTATTTACAAATGTTTTTATGTAAAAATACTTGGGTGCTTCTTTATGGTTGTTTTAGTCAGTGTTTATGATTTATATAATATACAAGTGTTTTTTGTTATATAAAGATACTGGCGTGCTCCTTATATGGTAGTTCTAGGCGGTGTTAAGTTTATTTGAGAGGTTTCGTTCACACATCTGTTATGGCCACGTTGATAGAAGACATGGTAGGTCTATATATATTATGCCCACACACTTGTGAATCGTTCAATATCATAATCGGTCCCGTTAAATCCGAGGTCCTGGAACAGCTGAGTGAGCGTTTGTCTAGCACACTTTATACTCGTTTTGTTAAGTGCAACTAGATGACAGAAAGGCATGAGACATTCTCCGGCTTCACAGTGCAGCTTTTTTCTCTTGGGTTGCATCACCAGGAGGATGTCCTTTGCTTCAACCATATCTTTTAATTTTAAACCAACGCCTTCTTCGAGAAAATGTTTTTCATGAAATTTACTGAAAAGAAAGGCTCCGACAGCAAAGCATCTTGGGGTTACTTCTGGAAAACAAGGCTTTATTCCACAAGCTATGGCGGCTGCAATCTCCCACAAGTTGACGCCATGAGTGGTCTCGTAGATAATACATCTACGAAAACTGCCTACTCTTCCATTGATTTCAACGAGTTTCGGACCGGTCCTTGTCATTTTAAACTCTGTGTTGAAAACTCCATTGAGTAAACCGACTTTACAACAGCAATGATGCGCAGCTGTCATCAGTTGGTCTTGAAGTTCTGCTGACAGATTAGAAGGAGTGCATATCGAAGTGCAGGCATAACTGTTAGGGAGGTAGAGACCAATGTCGGTAACAAATGCAGTCATGAGCTCGCCGTCGTAAATCACCACGTCCACCTCGTAGGAGAGACCATCAAGAAGTTCCATGAGGACCATTGACGTTCCAAATGTTTCTCCAAAGGAGGATTCTCTAAATTCTTTCTGTAATTGGTTGTACTGTAGAAGGCAGTCGTCTTCAGAAACAACTTTTACAACTGCCCTGGAGCTCTCGTACTGTTCCAGCTTGAGAATAGCAGGATAGATTATTTGCTTGCATTCTTTGATATCATCTCCTCTTTGAATGCGATAGGAAATTGGAGAATATTTTTCTGCGTTGAATGTTGAATTCCTTGTTTTAGATCTCAGAGCTTCAGATGTTTTTTGCTTGCTCCACGCTGCTATGGCAGCATCAGGATGAAATCCTTTGACTCGAAGTTTCTCACATACGACAGCCGTTATTGGTGAAACCTCTTCAGTAAAGGTGAAACATCCGTCAATATCTTTCACTCGATCTCCAAGAAGTTGGATTATGTTAATTGCATGTTTCTCGATATCTGAGTGATCTGTGAAGTAATCGTACTGGATAAATGTATGCACTTGTCCTGCTGCGTGATTTGAAGTCCCGTGTCCAACCAGAATGACCTGTAGATAATAATTGAGATAGATTACTTTTCACAACATTTGAAGATTGTTTGACAATCAGTGTAAAAGCATAAAAAAGCGAAGAAAAATGACATACAATTTGTGACGAATGCAACTGCCCCTAATGAATTAACGCTATTTGCTACAATTTTGACGTCATATTTTATTGTATAATTAAGTTAGCATTTGTATCGATAGACACCTAACTTGAAAAAGCAACTTATAGTTTTAACATATACTATACAATTGTATGACGTCATCCTATGAATTAAATGATGACTTACTTGTTTAAATCAAATATTTTAGTCGATATTTTATATAGAATGTAAATATTATCAGAGTCTCTGAAATCAGTAGCCAAATATATCCATGACGTTTTGTTAAGGCGGCGAAAATAGGTCATGGTTTTTAAAATGCTACAAAATAGGTACCAAGTTTTCCCTTTGATAGCTCTATACATGACATGAAAGTTCAACAAGGTGTTCAAATATAACGTTGGCGATGTAATGATGTGTTAATTGCCGTATATTATTACACAATCAAACGTATAACCAAGTCTTGATAAAGATACAACAAAACGTAAGGTTCAACATTTATCTCTTAATACCTTGACGGACTCCTAATATATTATATTATTGTTACATGTGGTATTTATTCATTGTAAACTCTGTTGTGGAGATAATGAAGGTTTCTTTTTGAGAATTAATTAACACAGTTAGTCTCTCAAACACATTAGAAGGTGATTTGTTTTCTTTAAAATGTATGTACATGTATGCATGCATGCATGTTAACGTTTCCACATGTATCTAGTTTAAGTCTAGTTTATATCTGTCGGTTGCAGTGTCGATATGCCATAGCAATAACCGTAGCATTGGCTTATTGATGATAAACAGAAACGTGGCAAACGCTTGTGAGTGCAAAAGGACAACCTAATTTATATGTAAGAACATTTAGGCCACGTCGCCCTGCTGGTGCTCCTGCAGACACGAAATTAATTCTGATCGTAGAGTATATAAATCAACATATGTCTGTATATCAATGTGGAATATGAAACTGAAGATTGTAATACAGGTAAATAAAAGATGAATTCTGACCTTCCTGTGCAGATTTTGCTTTTTGCTAAAAAATGTTTGTAAAATCGCTTTCACGAATGTGTCAAACTTTACGCCTTATTTGATTTACATCTATGTTTATTCAGATTTTGTGCTAAGTGAACATTATTTTGTAAAACGGCATAATCTCTTGCATATGAAGTGTCATAGCTTATTTTTTTAGCATTGATTTTTTACCTTTATTGTTCAGGGTAAACCAAGTTTCTCATTGAATACCACTGTTTATAAGTTCTGATAATTTTTACCATCCTTCTTGATATATTAATAACAATAGCAGCAATCATGTGAGAAGATCAGCTTATAAAAAAAGAAGAAAAGACATTACTTATATAAAGTAAAGTGAACATTTATGACACATTAAAAAAGAAAAGTAATAAAAACTAGTGAATAGAACAGTTTTCTTTGACTACTCATTGTATATTTGAATGTTAAATAATAGCAAGAGACTCAGAGGTCATGTACGCTCACCTTGATATCTAAGCAATCATGGCAAACTATTCCCCAAATGAGATCCAAGGGAATTTGCCTGACTCCAAGGCCAATCCTTGTAGCATGTCTGTATTAAATTTTTCATGCCCAACAATTTTATTTATGGTTATGGGGTTGGGATCTCAACTGTTTCGAAGCTGTGACTCAGAAACTAAGTCCCTAGGGATTCGGTCAGACCCCAGGGTCTATTCTAATATTATGACTGCATTTGTCTCTTTATGCCCAGCATTTGTTTATATAGTTTTGGGGTGGGGAACGCAAACTTTTTAAAGTTTTGACCGAGGGACTATGTCTCCAAGGGTGGGGCCAGACCCCAGAGCCATCCTGGAAGCAAATGTGCGTTGTTCTCTTTATACTCGGCAATTGTATATATTGTTATACGGTGGGGATCTCAACCATTTCCAAGTAATAAACGTTTTTTGGCCCCACCCCTTAACCCGGGGGGTCAGCCCCAACATTTGTACAATTTTGAATCTCCGCTTCCCATGAATACTTCTGACCAAATATGATTGATATCCATGACATGGTTCTACAGAAGAAGTCGTTTATAGCAATATATTTACATTTGCATGGCATTGTCACTATATAGCCTCTTTGAAAGCTGTGTCGTTGATGGGACTTTAATCGCAATGCAGCACGAGACACAATTCTTAGCGTATTAATACAATACTGACCGGAACTACAATATCCAATGTAAATAAACATGACGGCTGTTGAAATATCGCTGGGCATTGTGAGACTTGACAGTGTAATTGTAAATTTATGTGCAAAAGAAAAAAGAAAATATAAAAAAAACATTTTATTACAACAAAAACAAGGTCTGCAATATCGTACAAAATGCATCGGTTGAAATCACCAATGTCGGATACAAAAAAGCTCGGCATGACTTATGCTTCATAATTTACCTTGATTTTTGCGTCTGAGAAAATACTCCATATACCTCGTTGACCACCTTTACTTGACCCGATGATCAGGATAGTCTTGCCTGTCAGTTTTTCTCTGACTTGGTCGGGGTATGTGACACACCCATGGCGCGCCATTTTGTGTACTGGTTGAATGATCTCTGACCTACATGTGATTATGAACGCTACATACTTACAGTTAAGGTATTTCATACAGGATCATTTCAGTGTATATAATATGAGACTGGCTCATAACTTTTCCTCAAAATGATAAAAATGTGGAAGTTGGTTGGTATACCCATGTCAGGAGAAATGTCAATAATGACCTTTGCAGAAATTATTTGTTGAAGATATTGTTTACTTGTCTGAAAAGTAACATTTGAATGCAGAATTCTAGTGGCGCAAAATTGCAATGAATAATGGAATTAATGAAAAAACTTACTTGAACATGCATTCCTGAAGTATCCATTTATTGACTATTATCGAGAAAAATGTAAGAAAATGTGTCAAATCTCCAGAATAATAGCATATATTTCCACTGAATAAATCACAACTGAGTATAAAGCCAACAAGGCTGCCTGAAGTTGGGAAAAAGCATACAAAGCAAGTGCGATTTTACCTGTACACCATTCAAAACACCTTCAGGTTCTCATTCAGGTAATCTTGCTTGACTTGTATCAATAGCTTTGTTAGCTTCATGAATAATTGTAAAATATTCAATGAAAATACATGCCATCATTCTTGAGATTTGAAGTATTTTCTTACATTTTTCTCGATAATAGTCAATACACGGATAAGTGTTTTCATGAATTATGCATTCAAATGTTACTTTTCAGACAAAGTCAACAATATTTTCAACAAATAATTTCTGCAAAGGTCATTATTGACATTTTTCCTGACATGGGTATACCAACCAACTTCCACATTTTTATCATTTTGAGGAAAAGTTATGAGCCAGTCTCATACTATATACACTGACATGAGCCTGTATGAAATACCTTAAGTATAATGTTAGGCATGACTGATTACATGTACACACATTATCACTGAAAGGGAAACTCTTATCTTAAAACCGCTTTGAAACAACAATTATGTATGTATACTTAAGAGTCATTTTGAACCGACGATGAAATAGATGAAATGGATTTTTTTGTCTGCTTTGGTTCAAATCGGGAAGATATCTTATAACAAAAGTAAAAATTACCATAAAAGTCAATACGCTCATCGTAAAGAAGAGAGCTTTACTACTCGGTGTTGGAAAGTAATAACAAGTTTGAGGCCTGATATTAACTCAACTATGTTAACGATTTGCTTACATACGCCATCGTAATGTTATTCGTTTACAAAATAATCTAAATAAATATTAATATTTATAAATATATATTGGTATTAGGATTTCCTCATGCGGCAAATGAAATTACTAAGGAGTTGTAGTTTTGAAAGAGTGAAGGCAGTGACGAGTGAAAGGTATTTTTGGCTAAATGTTTGAAGGCTTTTATTGATCCGGACAATACAGGACATTATCAGGGTTTGGGCTCTAGGTTTCTCAATAAACGGCATAAGCCTACCGTACACACTCAAACAAGTAGGGACGTCCATACATAGAATCAATTTCAGGTGAGCGATAGGTAATGACATGCAGTGTGTTGTTTTCTGTTAAATCCATGTAACTGATATGAGTCATTACTTGTACTTGATATAATATATTATTAAACTGTTTATATTACCAGGTATTTATTTAAAGAAAAATTCTGTAACTCAGACACATTTTCCCCCAAAATAATTTAATCGCAGTTATGCTGTTATTTCGTTAATCAATCAGGGATGTTATCTTAGAATTCCATTGTTTTCAAGTTTTTTTGTTATACATGAGGATTATATATGATGCAAATGAAAAGTACCTCTCTCGAGTCTTCAATAATTTTCTGTGATTCAACAAAACTTGTCAGATTTGTAAGGCATCCTATGCCTGTCAAGCTCCTAAGGGGAGATAACCAGTACTTCCTTAAACGTATAGAATTAAGGTTGTTTTCCTTTGGTTGGAAATGTTGTATATCTTAATTTTGAAACGAAATGTATCTTCTTAGCGATTGGTAAGTCTTTTTAACCCAAAACCAATAAAATAGCTTGCCCCGTTCCTTCAATTTTAGAGCATTTGATATCAAGTTAATTGGAATATTTGATACGTCTTAATAGATCCGATCAATTCGTTGTTAACGTAGGGAAATCATACGGAAAACCGCATGTGCTAGAGACCGAGAATACTGCACGGTATAGCATCGTCTGTTTCCATATATAGAGTAATAACATGCTGTTAAGAAAGTAAACCATTGAGTATTATTTATGACTACGAAATGTCGATAATTTGTGCAGTAGGGAATGTCATTGACCCGCATTCTTTACAAGCACAACTTCATTCCGTTCTAATATATTGTTTACGCAAATATGCATGTGTTTTAAAATAATCATAACTTCAGCTACAACCTGTTAATTATTTTAAGATAAGTTTTTAATATAAGTACTTCAAACTGAGAGCCACGAAGGATATGGAACGTTTAATTGTATTGTTATTCAGCTGATGATGTGCATGCTTATTTTCATGGATACCTCTACTGTGAAGAGGAACATATTTCTAATTATATCATCTTAAAAACACCAATTCGACTACCTTTTCCCCAATATTTCCTTGTTATTTGTTACTGAAAGTGTTTTGTTGGTTTTTGTAATTATCATTTTTTATATGTTTACAAATGTTGTTTTTGTAATTGACAAATATTTTTGTATAATTGTCCGATGATGATTTTGTAATTCAACAATGTTTCTCTGTTATTTGAACGAACCACATGTTGTTATTTGTACTCGAAGAATACAGTCATTTTTAATTAAACAAAGCTGTTATGTACAAATGACAGAAGAGATGCTATTTGTAAATCAACAATATCACCGGATAGCCATTAAAATAAAGTATATGGAAGTCATGAGTAAATAAAAGAAAACAGTAGCTCATACAAAAATACCAAACTTTATTTGCAATGTAGTATGCTTCTTTATAGTATATATGGCAATGTTACCAACAGTACATGTTACAAAGCTTTGAAGATAAAACAATGTTTTACCTAACAGTATGTTTACAATTACGAATCTAAATAGTGTCGCACCACAAGGTATTGTACTTATACCTTAGCTAATAAGATATAGAAGACCACATGGAGACCTATGTTTATGTAATATAGGATGTAGTTTAACTATAAAAAGAGGCGTGCGGTATGCCACGAGTCTTTGGCTAATGATGCAACTGTTTAACAAGTTTGAAAAATAGAATGTATATCAGATGAATGTACTTTTCATTGTATTTCATTATGGCAAAATATTGGCAATACACAAAGGGGACACAAATATTGATTACAATTGCTTAGATTTGCGGCCTTCACTTTAGGTGACATTATCATAGATTTCTTTCAACGTGACCAATAAAAGCAGCAACACTTTTCATGTTAACCTCTTTGACTAATCAAAACTGAACAAATGTTTTGTCATTCAAACGGACAAATCAAAACTTTTACTTTGGTAATGTCATCCAGCCTGACCAATCAAATTAGTTAACATTGTCATGCCATTAACCCGACCAATCAACAGTAATAGTGTTATGGCAAGCGTAAGATAATATAGACAAATAGGGTTACATAATGGACTAACACTAAACAATGTATACTTACAATAAACTATTTTATTTGTTAAAGAATTAAATGATCACGGTGTTCTCTGACGTCTCTACTAAGAATACGCTCGACGCTGGTTTGTTACAATCGTCCTCCAGCGTGTTTTGGAACCTATTGTTTTTTACATTAAAAATTTATATTTTTTCCACATTAACATAGGTGTAAGTTATCCTTACCTTTAACTCTTTTTAATCATAAGGTTAATATGATATAGTTAACCGTAACTACAACTGACCTATATCAGAATATACACCGTAGGTCATTAGGTAATGTGTGATCAAATACCAGGTGTTAAAATGTTTCTGTCACCAAAGCAATATCCTCTGTTTACTGTTAAGGTTAAACACATTTCTTTGAATATGTATCCTTCTTCAGCGACTAGAATTTACGTTACAGTTATCCCCCTTTAAGAATATACCTCCTCTGATACTCAGAGGTCTAAAAATCACCCTGTTTATATTATCTACGATTGTCTTAAATACTTCTGAACAACAACAAAACGATGTATATATATATATACAGAAAAGTCTTCAACGTGTTGATTGGTTTAAAAATGACCAAAAAATGACGACTCCAGTACAAAACGTGTAACCAGATTGCAGACTTGATTTTTTGGGAATCTCATTTCTTCTTTAATGGTTTGTCTATTACATGGGTTTGATTGGATTACTGGAATCCACATTCAAATTATATAAGCCATTTAATGTCGTGGAATGTCAGACAGTTAAAGAATACGAAATACAGAATAACACATTTACTAAACAGCTACATGTAATTCTTTATATCAAATTATTATAATCCTGTAAGCTGATTATTAATTAATATGAATTCCCTCTGTAAAAATATAGCACATTATGAAAGCATTTTGAGTGACATAAAATGTTCCATTGGCACCGCTTACAGGTCCAACTACATGTATAATACCCTTTTATAGGTATAGCTATGCACGTATGATACCCGTTTATATGTACGGCTATATACTGTACATGTATAATAACCGTTTCTAGGTATCCATGTATAGTAACCTTAATATGTACTGCTATATATGTACCATCGTATGGCATTGTTACTTTATAACAGGCTATGAATGCCATGGACCGATTGCTGACGTCATCATTTTTATGACGTCATAATTGTTACGTTGGATACCATTGACCCTTCTTGGGCGATGGCTGTTCTATTCATTGAAAACACATACATGATACAAACATTATTTGAACTAAATGCTGAATAATAGTAAGTGTAATTGAATTTTCTATGAGATGAACAGATTCCAAAAAATAGCAAATTTAAGTATTGAACTGCTTTCAGTTGTTATTCATAGGCAATATGAATTCCAACAAAACAAAAAGGAAATCCAACATGAAGCACTAGCGCGCTTCATTGAATTTGTCTTGATCAAGTTGGCATTCATATTGC